GGAAAAAGAGTTGAAAATAGTTGAAAAGTATTGGTTGTTGAAGTAAGGGCCCAAAACAATGAATTAGGCCCTAAGAGTTGTTTGAATCTCCCCTATTTGTTTAAAAGTTGATTTCTGCATTCTAAGGGAATTCTAGGTCTTAATTTCATTACTTTACTTATTATTGCTTAAAGAACGTTTGTTATTCCTTACCTTCCCTTGTTAGCCAAAACCCCAAGCCCCGTTACAACCCTTGACTTCTATCTTGAGTGTTGTGCATTTCAAATGTGGAGTTTGAATTTGGTATGAGCATATGGTGTCACTGGTTCTCGCATCTAAGTAGTAGCATCCCATTCATGAGATCATATCCATACACGTTTAATTACTCCCGAAATTGCTTTCTTTGTATAACGTATGTGAGTACTAGTCTTTCATGTTTACATCAATCTTCTCACATATAACTAGTGTAGGGTGTGTAGTCAGAAAATTTGAGTGAAAATTGAGTGCATAACGAGTGAGGAATTGAGGGAATTCTCTAAGGCATGTTACTACATTCAAAATATGTTTTAATTGATTAAATGCGAACTAGTGAATGGTGACTATGATTAAGTATGTGCTTGAGGGAAAGGAAGACTAAAAGCCATGTGAGTAATGAATTTTGCATGTCATGTTTCATTGGAAATCCCTGAGGCGAACGTTGGAAGGTTTAGTTTTTGGTTTTGGTTAGTTTGTTTCGTTTTGTTTTCTTTCTTTTGTTTGTTTTGCTCGAGGACTAGCAAAAGCTAAGTGTGGGGGAATTTGATAGGAGCATATTTATGCGCCTTAGTTAGCTAGTTCTTATGCATTTTTGTTATGTTTTATTCGTTAAAGTAGTCTTTTAAGATACTTTCATGTGTTTTCAGGTTTAAAGGACATATTACATGAAATGATGCAATTGGGAGCTTTTGGAGCAAAACTGAGCTGGAATGTGGTGTATGCAAATGGAGCACGAGGAATGAACGAGGTTGAAGGTCAAAGGAGCTTAAGAAATGAAGAAATGAAAGTGAAGAGCAAGGAAGTCGGAATTGGTAACCAAAGTTTCTAAAGTTGGAAGTTTCTATTCTTGGAGGTTTCCATTGTCGTGAGTTTCTATTCTTGGCTTTGGGCTTTTAGATGACCTAAACCCTAACTCTTTGTGGACCCTAAGCCTATGCCGCACCTAAACCCTAACCTTAGCCCATTTTAGAGCCATTGCCGTGGGCTTTAGCCCAAGTCCTTTCCCTTGCCATGCAAGGGGAGGCATTTTAGGCCCAAATCCATGCATTAAGCCCTTCACCCTAATTGGCCCAAATCCATGCATTAAGCCCTTCACCCTAATTCTTCCTCCTAATTAGTGCATCCCACCATTCCATTCCATAATTTCCATTAGTGCATCCCACCATTCCATTCACACTTAAATGCCCATTATCCCATTTTTTTTAGCTTTTAATTCCACACCATCCCATTATCCTTTACATCCACTAAACCATGCATCCACATTCACCTAAATAAACCCTAAATTACATCCACTAAACCATCCATCCACCATAATTCCCACCATCCACACCTTTTCCCATCCACCAAATACCTTAAACAAACATCCATTAACACCCATTCTCTTCCTATAAATACCCATTCATTCCATTCACCAAATCATCTCATATTTTCCATTTCCTCCATTTCCACTCCATTCAACACTTCCATCCCCCCAACCAACTATCCCTAGACCTTATGCTACAATAAAGAGGAAGATAAGAGGGCCTAAACGTTCATACAATTCAAGATTGAGTTGTTGGAATGTTTAGGCGTTTCTTTGATTTCAATGTTTAATTTCAATTCTCTTTGTTTTGTACGTATGAGGAAATAAACCCCCTTTAGCTAGGGGGTGATTCGAAACTATGTTTATGTTTGTAATATGATTTGATTACTTTTAATTACGTTTCATAAGTTGTGAATTCAATTTGTTTAACTGTTTAATTGATAACCTATTTATGTATGTTTATTAAGAATGAACGCTTAATTTTCATGCATGAATTTGACGCTAGAATATAAGTGAGTTTCACGTAATAGTTATGAACTTATATTCACAAGTAGTGGAGGTTGCTTATAAACAATCGTGTTAAACATATTCTTGGCATAAGTTTCATGCAATCATAGTAACGAATGCCTCGTCAACACTTATAGTTTTCATGATGCTTAATGATTCTTGCTTGTATCTCTATTATGCAATTCATGTAGGGAACTTGTGAGGAATGCTTTGGATTGTCGTATGCAATCATCCAATTCATTAACTTAAGGAAAACTTGACGGTTAATTTAAGCGGACCTAATTAACCCGGGGCGTTGAGAATTCATGGTTTATTGAAAAGCAATTAGACATCGTTTTGTATGCAAGTATAACATATGTGGAGATGAACCCCTTAGCTAGCTTCCCATCCATTCAATTCCGTCAAATCCATATTTACAATTTGTTTTATTTTCAAGTTTCCATTTTTAGTTTAAAGTCGTCCAAATCCAATCCCCCTTTACTTTATTGTTCAATTTAGTTAGAAATCAATTTAGTTTGTGTTTTTAAAGCATTTTGAGTCTTTTGGTTTGTCTTAGTGTTTTAACGTTTAGTTTCACATTCTTTGAGTCTAGTTTAGTGTTTTATCTTGTTTTTACGTTTTTGAGTCAGTTTCCAAGAGATTAACAATCCCTCCTAATCCCCGGTCCAGAACGATCCCTACTTATACTTATACTACAATTGACAAAAAAGAGGGTTTAATTTGTGTGCGTATAAATCTCGCATCATATATATGAAGAAAAAAAAAAGGATAAGGTTGCAGATATTGCCAATTGGTTAAAAATCTACTAAATAATCTATCAACAAAATTTGTAGTTTCAGATAATGACATGTGTATGACGAAATTAGTTAAAAATCATATCCAAGATTAAAAATAAAATTATTTTTTATTATTTTATAAAACTAATAATAATATTTTTATACTAATAGGCTGGGCTATTCAATTTAGAAGTGGAGATGAGATTGTACAGTTACTGTTTACTAAATACAATAATTGCTTGCTCAACAGTCTCGACAATAATCACTTGGCAATTTGGTAGGCTCAAGTTGCTCTTAGCTTTTGGAAAGGGATCCTCTTCGGATCCCTTCGACCTAATCCTCCTCATCAAACAATCTGGGCCGTTGAAATTTGATATAACAGCTAAAGTTATTATAACTTTTAAAGTGGACCTGTGTTTTTAGCCGTTAAATCAAATTTCAAGAGCCCGAATTGTTTGATGAGGAGGATTAGGTGAAAGGGATTGGAAGAGGATCCCTTTCCTTAGCTTTTGTCAAAGATTATTTCTTAATTTAACTAATAAGAACATTCCAAACCGTTAAATTGATTTAAGATGAATTGCATTGAATATATGGTTGGATCCAAGGCAACATAATGCTTAAGCGATGGTGCTTTTTCTAGGCTCAAACACTAGTTTGGTATTGCTTAATTATTTTTTTTTAAAGGCAACTTCTTAAAAAAGTTAGGATTAAAATTGTGTTTCGTAAAAAAAAAAAAAATGTGTATTTTCAAAATCATGGGTCTAAAACAACACAAAGAAAAAGCATCAATACTTATCTTGTCCCAAATAAAAAAGATAAATGAAATTGGATGCAATCATTAATAACAACTCAAATGCACCGAATTCTATCTGAATTTCAAAGTTCAAATGGTTTCGGCGAGAGAACAAGAAGGATGAGTGACCTCTGTGAGAAGTCATCGTGTGCTTTCCTCTGTCTTGTGAAAACACATGTCCCACCCACATGAACACAACACGTTACTCTTTTTCGCAAATCACAAATTAACACAAGCATAAATAATGCATCAACTTATGTAAATATAGAAGATTTATGCACATTCGTCAAACTGGTTATTGTTAAATGAATAAGAATGGATATAAAATTTAAAATAACGAGCCAAATATTCAAAGTTGCAGAATTTCCATGAAATTCACTTTGGTTTGAAATTTTTGGAGTACGATTTTCTTCCCTTTTATTCTCATCCCCTTCCTTCCCCCTCCTCTCACAATTTTTACTCTCTCTCTCTCTCTCTCTCTCTCTCTCTCTCTATAAAAAAATCAATATAAGATGTTAATGTGGCTTAATCATAAACGTTTAAATACAAGGGGAGGGAAAACCAGTGAAAGCTGGGTCAGATTGTGTGACTACCATCCATCATTCATGTAAATATCAAATGCTACTGGTACAACCCCGATAATTAATTAAATCCTAATGACACTAACACATAATTAGTGTAGGATTAGCAATCAAATGAAGCCCTCATGCAACTATAAATGCCATGGCACCTGTGCCTAGCTAGGATAAGTAGCTACTTAACAATGGATGAAGTCAATCCATCATACATTCTATACATCAGAGGAATACAGGCCTACAAACGTAATCACCGAAGGCGAAGGAATCCCGTTGATCGATCTCTCTCCGATAACCATCCGGGAAAGGTGGGCCGGTTCAAACCATAAGGTTGTGGAAGAGCTTGCTGCTAAGATAGGGGAGGGCTTGCAGGACCTGGGGATTCTTCACGGTGATCAACCATGGCGTGCCTTCAGATATTCAGAGAAAAATTAACAGTTTGACAAGAAACACGGCTTCTACATGCCGATGACTGACTACTAGATTGTTGCTTAACCTAAAGATTTCAAATGCTCCAATTTCACCAGTCATTGAAATAAAACAGCTTCAGCTCCGCGAGATGCTTCAAGTTACCAAGTAAGACATTGTAGTTCTACACTTCTTATCTACGCACTAACAACCGGAACTTTAAATTATTGAGCTAAGAAATTACAAACGAGAAACCGCTGGCTGAATATGAGGCTTCATACAGGCGAATCATGCATGAACTCTGTCTACAATGGCCTTTCAATCCGATGGCATTTTCTTGCTCGTTAATAAAATGACACGAACATTTTCTAAGATTCTCCTTATACTGGAAGAACACATACTCATTTCTACGTACTGCAAAATTTCATTAGCAGAGGACTCGTATATTTACGCATACAAACTATTCTGATGTTGCTTGCTTGTCAAGGAAGAATATATACAACACTAACATCTAGAGTGATAACTTACAGAAGGCAAAGGGTGCAAACTCTGGAATGACCTGTTGGCGTGGTCTGCCCCCGACCTCTCAACTAGTCTGAATTTTAAGTTCGAGATGTTGCTGTTTTCAAGCACCGAAGTGCAGCAGTATAACTCAAAATAAAATAGAATCATAGCTCATTTAGTTTCTTTTGTCTTCGAGTTCTTCTAGCCACCTGAAAAGAGTAAGCAAACAGAAACAGTGAAATAAGTAACCAGGGATATGTTAAACACAAACATGCAAGGGACAACGTCTTCTTGGGCTGGCAGTTTTGTAAGCAAATTTGGAATTTCTGTCTTCCTAGATTGATGAATTAAATTGTGCAAAACGTGTAGACGCTCATGTGAATTTACTAAAAGCCTATGATCAAAGCCAACGATTCAACGCTGTGCCTATACAGTTTGTTGTTTGGATTCAATATTTATTAAATAGGACAGGAAAGAAAATCAAGGTGTTTCACTCCCCAGTAGAAGTCAGAGAAACACTTATTGAAGAATTATGGAAGACATTTAGATGAAGATCTTAGCTTGTAACAGTTTCACAAATATGGGAAGAAAATAAGATTCTTTTTAGGCTATGTAATTCACTTGGAGTTTATTGTTCCCAAACAGTATAAAGCAAAAGAGAATATAGTTCTTGACATTTATCGGGAGAATTTGACTCGGGAGTTGCATTATCTATATAAATATCGAAGAAATAAAGAGACAAAGCTCCATGCAAGGCAATTATTCGACCTGACATGTCAAAACATAAGAGCAAAATGAAATGATAATACCAAAAAATAAAATGCAAGCCTTACAGCATCCTCATTTGCATCAGTAACTTCTGATGCTGAGGTGTCCACAAAAGCTTTTTTCCCCAGCTTTCGTTTCTGCTACATCCAAAACTACAGTGTAAGCATAAAATCATTGGAACAGTACGACAAACTCAAATTACCACAATTCATGAGCACACACTGCAGGCACAAAAAGGCACAATAACTTTCATGCTATAGTTGAATGTTGTCAAATGGCATTTACTCCTGGGTGATTCCAGACTTCAAGCATGCATTGGAAACTTTAATGAATGATGCATCAAGTAAATATGAAACCAGCTAAAATATATATCCATAATACATAAGTATATAATGCACATAGAACATAAATCCATTCCAAGCTTGCATCGTATAAGCACACATCCTTTAAAGAAACAATGTAGATTGTTACCCACTATCAGTGTTGCATCAGACTGGGTGTGGTGATACAGATCTAGTTTTTGACTAAAACTAACTATATGGAGACAGAAATGGAATTTCATTCAAGTCCACTTAAGCTTTCAACAATATAGACACTTTTTGTTTGATGGGGCCTTGGTGTCCCCCTTCCTAGGGGACAGTATAGCCACCTTTTTAACGAACAGTAAATGTCAAACAACTTAAACTTAAGTTAACATTTGCAAGCTAATAAAACATTCATGGTATTTCACTCTTACCCTTTCCTCCCGTGAACCATCACTTATAGTTTCCCAGCTCTCACTTTCCAAGCATACTAATTGAACATCCCCGCTACTATCACATGTGATCTGCCAATGAAAAAATGGGAAATTAATCACAATAATTCAGATCAAGCAGCATGGCGATGGCTTTGATAAATACACAATGAATCCAGCTTACAAATTTACAATACTTTAAAGATGAAATAAAGGCAATGCATATTATTCTCTAAAAATTTTCCACATAATTTACTGAATGATCGAAATAGTTGTTTAAAAATGGAACTAAAAAAATATAGTCATGTTTATTCACCTTGTATGTATTGTTTTGAGCATTATAACCATCCACTGTACCTGAATAAAAACTGGAAAACAAAAACAAATATTGTTATAAAGAAGGGCTACAACGATGCTGAAAAATCATCTCCTAGATTGGGGAGATGCTCACCATTTATCTACAGGAGACAAAAATTTGATTCTTTGCCCAATCAATGCCTCAGCCTTCTTACTAATTTCCTACATAAGTAATTATAAAATATTTCTCAGGACACCGTAATGTCAAAAATGCAATACAATTTCAAGGGCATTCTCAGAGAGAGCTTATTCTTACCTTTAAGCTGCAAGGACCCTTTAGATTTGATCTGGGGTCATTGGAATGTTCCACATTAATGCTTCTTTTCACATTAACATTTCCCATCAATGGAATGGTATTTTTTTTAATATTCTGGACAGTGGCATTTGATCCACCGACTGTAGCCACAGAATCACAAGATGAAAGTATTTCTTTTTCCAAAGTAATCTCAGATTTTTTAGATAAATCATTCTGGTAACCAATATCAGAATCACTTGGAGAGAGATCTCGTTTTCTTCTACATCCTCCTGTACTGGTGCCTTGTTTCACAGCCTTTCGGGGTTCAGCTGCCCCATCATTGCACAAATTAACTATCTTGGAAGATGTTACGATATGTTTGCTCTCCTTGACAACACCAGATTGTGTGATATCCTCTTGACATTTACGCCCCCGTCTAGGAAGAGCACTGGCAGGCTGAAATGCGAATAAAGATTTCTAACAAGATGGTAATAGGAAGAAAATACCATTAAGACAATCATGCGGGCAATATAACTAAAGCTGTAAAGAAACATTGGAGATACGTACCAAAGAGATATTTGATTTAAATATGTCAACTACTCTTTTGAAAAAGTACTCATCAAAACATGATTGAGTGAGGCATCTTGAATTGGACTGCAGAAAACAAATAATCAAAACGTAAAATGATGTGGAACTTTTAACTAGAAATTTAAATTTCTTCCAGCCAAAAGATAAAGAACAGAATACCAAATCTTATTAAAAATTGCTCATCACTTTTATACGAGATACTTACTTTATATAAGGATGATGGTAGAAATATTTTCCCAGGAGCATGTAATAAGGAGAGGCCATTATGATTTGTTAACGTCACAAAAGAATGCCCAATTTCTGCCAGAATATGCAGCTTCTGCATCATAAGAAAAACCTCCTTTCCTCAATTATAAAACATAAACATAAGGTGAGATAGGAGAAGGATCTTCTGAAGGGAAAACTCTTACGCCAGTTAATTCAGTGTCTATAGCATCCTCAGCTCTCTTAATTGCACGAAAAATGCAAATCAAATACAAGACAGAATCCTTGGTAACATCCAGAGCCCCATCAGCATTACTAGCATTGACTAAAGCCTGCAATAAAGCTAACAGTGGACTGCAAAGAGAAACATAATCCAAAGTTTGTTACCATAGCTGCATTCATATTCAGTACTAGGCAATCTCCAATGTGATTAAGTTAACCGGATATATTTATATACCCGCAAAACTGAGCATATGCTTTTTCATCTTGACAGTCTTCAGGTGGGAAGCCAGTATCATGAGCAAGAATATGGATCAAGAACACCACTATGTATGCTGGAAAATCAGTGTTTAATCCTTCTTGGACTCCAGAGATTTGACGCACTTGAGCTTCTCTACTGTAATCCTTGACAAATTCTGCAATATATTTTAAAGACTAAAATAAACGGTATCAGCATACATTCATTGATCAAGTCTACAGAAATAACTCATAGATATATGACATTTAGCATACATCATCCTGCAGATCCTTGAGGCAATCTGAGGTGGCCATTGCGAAAGCACATGCATATCTGCTAGGTATAACATGCTCCTTCAGTAATTTGTGAGTTTTATCAAGAAATGATCTTCTCACCAATGGAGAATCATCCTGAAATGTGTGAGGAAAAAAATGAACATGAAAATATAAATAAGTGGCAATTCAGGAGTGCCAATGAAATAAAATTTGAAGAAACTGAAGAGTATATAAACAGGAAGGGATGCAAACAACTAACTGGACTAAGCATTAACTGGTGATTGATACCAGATACAAAACACATCTATTGCATAGTTCTCAATGTCATCTAATATTTATCTTTTATAAATTTTATCAAGTGCATTTCTTTTACCATTTGTCAATCAATCTATGAATGGAACAACTCACTGGAAGACTCGGTGAATATTATTAAGTTAGTGACAGATGCATTTATACTTTAGCTATAACTAATTATGAGCTGCAGGGACCAGAATCTCAAATTCCATCAGGATTGAGGAATATGTTTTCATTAGTTTTACAGGAAGAAATGAAGCTGTAACAAGGAGTCCACATGAGTGAAACATACAAAAGATTGTGTTCCAAAAGTGAACGTTACTCCCATTTCAAGTTACAAACTTTAGTAAGCAAGAGAACAGGTAACCGAGAAAAATGAAGGGCAACACTAGGATACATAAATGAAAACCAATCAGAAATACCTTTGCCATTAAAATTGTGAAGTGAAAGATCTCTGGAGAAATATGGAAATCCCATCTTCGAGCAAGCCGGAGAACAGACTTTGCAGCAGCTAATCTAATACAAGCCTTATCACTTTCACTGCTTTACAGAACAAGTGAAACCAAATGAGTGGTGTCCAAAAATACTTTTGATATGCAAGTAAAAAGTATAACATAATTCAATGAACATAAAGATTTTAAAAGCACAACTAAAGGTTGAAAAAGACTTTTTAAACTCTAAAACACCTCAAATTTTAGGTCTTGAGTACTTGTTTGGTAGGATGATTTTTAAAACTTAAAGACTCAAAACCAAATTAAAAACTTGCCTAGTTGAAAACATCAAAAGTGAGTTTTTAGAGTTTTTAAACTCATGTCCAATGCTTTCTCTATCTCCGAATATTTTATGTGCACATCTTTTCTCTTTCCTATCTTTCTCTCTCCTCCGACACTTTCTTATCTCTCTCTCTCTCTCTGGATTTCCATGTCCAGTTGTTGTTATCGACTCCACTGTAAGATGAGGTTTTTTTATAATTGTTAGATTTTAAAACAATTTTGAATCTCATACCAAAGGAGCTTTTGAGTCTTAAGGAAAATTGTTCTTAAGAGATGTTTTTAAAAAAGGCTACGAGAATGATGAATTTTTTTTTAATAGGATACCAAACGGGCCCTTAAAATTGTAGCCTTTTTATTCAGTTGTTTGTTGGCTCATTATTGCCATTCAGCATAATGAACAACAATCACAAACTCACAGCAAAAGGCTACACAAATAGTTAAGAATCTCATCTCTGAACATGAATCGACAAAATTTCGTCAGTTTCTAAAGTACCCTTCCTCCCAAATTAACATAAGACTGGGTAAAAAAAAGTAACAGTAAACTTAACCACTCATTCTTCTGAAAACAAAACCACATTTTTAATTGCTTCATTCAAACACCATAGGGATTCTAGTCAAAAGCTGAGATAATATCAAAGCACGTCAAGTATAAGCTAGAAGTAAAAAAGAAAACTCAGCGCAAAGCAGAGATATAAATAATTAAATGATTTAGTCAGTTTTACCTTCTTTAATTTGGCTTGAACCATAATGAAGAATTAATCCCATATAAAAATTACGGAAGAGGTGAGCTCAGACTTATAAATTTTCTATTTCAAGGAGTCTGAAATCATACCATGAGGTGATACCCTCAGCAGTTTCTCCCTTTTGCAGCATTGTTGACAAAATGTCCCAGAGCTCATCAATTTGCCGTTTGGTGTTGTCCTCAAGCTCATTAATTTGCTGTTTGGTGTGAGTTCCCCTGTGTGGCAAGAAGCTCTTGACAAGTGTTTTCAGGCCATATATCTGCAAAATAAATGATTAAACCAGAGGAACCATGGAAATATCTGTAAGAAATGAACAATTTCTATACAGTAATTCTCAAAGTTTTATAATCATCATTGGTGATTTTGGACCCTTTGGTGGGTTGATCCTTGCATAGACAGAGCACTTCTTTCACATGAGCCCGTAACAACACTTCTAATTCATTAACCTAACTAATACATACAGGCTACGTGCAAACTATAACAGTGCCAAAGATTTTAACCAAAAAAAAAAGTATCCAATCTGTAAACCAAAGCTTTTAGTAACTAAATGGTGTAATGACATACTTTCTCCTCTTTCATGGTACGGTAACATTTCAGCAAAAATTTAAATTGATTAATTCCTATGAAAAAAGAAGGAAATTTTTCGTGGAGAGCAACTCAATTTCACTGAATTGTCAACTGTTTCATCAAATCCCACTCACAGCTCAACTGAACTCAAGTTTTTTCTAATACAAAAAGCCATGACCAAAAATTTTTCTAGCCTTCACTGCATAGAATATTTGTTCTCTCACATTAATTGATTTTTTTAAGCATATAGCATTGCAAATTAATCAATGTATTACAAGGCTCCGCGCAGACGAGGCGTTCCATGGATAGCCCCGCCTAGGCGTGAGGCTGAGGCTTCGCCTCATGGGACCTAAATTTTTTAATATATACAATATATATGTATATATATAATAATAATAATGATATAATATAGTATATTACTTCGTAAAACAATTAATCAACAATCAAACAAGCAATCAAGATCAAATTGAGATTAGAATACTAAAAAACTTGAATTTTGAAACAAATTGTGGTGGTGTGGAGAACTTGAAACAAATTGAGGTATGAGATTGGAGTAAAATTGAAATTATGGGATTGGGATTGAAAATTTAGGGTTTGAGGAATTGGGTGAAAGCAGAGAGAATCGGGAATTGGGTGGTGAAATATAGCAGAGAAAATCGGGTATTGGGTTGGGAAGAAGAATGGACCTACTGTGATTATGAAAAATAAATAAAAAATTAGACTTGGCCAAAACAACGTCGTTTTGGGCCAAGCCATTTTAAAATAAATTAAAAGACTGCCAAAACGGCGTCGTTTTGGTCCAAGTCTTTAGAAATAATAAAATACCCTTCTTCCTAGCGTGGTCGTCTTCTTCATGAAGACGCCGCTGCAACACACCAGAGCAGAGGTTTTCAGAAAATTTCAAATTTCAAGCAAGAATTTGGATCACTTAAGGGTACTGGGAACGGGCAGTCAACGCCTCAGGCACACCTCGGCCGCCTAGGCACGCCGTAACGAAGCCTAGGCGAGTTTCTGCCCTACTCCCCGAAAACACAGGTGAAATTGCTGCCCTCCCCCCCCCCCCCCCCCACAAAAAAAGGGCGCCTCTAAGGCCACCTAGGCATGCCCCGAGGTGTGTCTTTTAAAACACTGAAATCAATCATGTATAACGTGCTTTTCAATGGTATAGTATATTAGCAGAATTCAAGAAGGTAAAATAGGCACATCTTCCCTGTACACTAGACAGAAAATCCAAACTTTGATGGTAAACACCATTCACAGCTGAACAAAAATACTAATACAAGTGAAAAAAAATGTTCCCATCCAGAACGTACCTTTAATTTGCAAGAATCACTAGACCCGGACGCATCATCACAGGAGTCTATAAAATCTGAAGAGTTCACCTACACGGAAGAAGTTAACGTAATATACTCACAATTTTCAACAAATACTTGAAGCAAATAAATATTCTACAACATCTGCGACCCTTGTTTAGGGAAAATAAAATATCTATATTCAAAACCAACTACATTCTGGCATGCCAAAATTCAAAGAAAGTGTTCATATTTATCTAACGGTTGATGTGAATTACTTGGAATATTTTTTGATATATATAATGGGTGATCTCTCCAACTTGGCTTTGGAATGTTGAAACAGAATGCTGTGCAAGACACCCCAAGGACTGTAACACTGTTGGTATGTTCTGCCCAACTAGTAGAGAATCCACAAGTTCCTAGACATATTGAACAAAAGTTGATTCAGTACGGATAACTCAGCATTATTTGAGAATACATGCAAGTTATGACATTGTAAAATATGACAATTCCGAAATTCTTAGGGTTATTCAGATGTACAGCAAACAAATACTGCGTCTCACTAATACATCCATATATAACCCAGTGGCAGATTTGGGTCCCATATGAGGGTGAACTTAAACAATGATAAGACTATAAATAGAATAAAAATGCATACAGTACACACACGCACATGCACACACACGTGGATATAAAAAAATGGTAACGCAATACAGTTAACAACTTATTAGGAGGCAAATGAACGCCATAAAGTGTATTAAAAATATAAATATGACTATCTATAGAACATAGTATGTGTGAGGCTGAAAGATACATAACCATAAGTAAGGATAAACAAACCTAAAACGCTAAAAATCAAGCTAAGCATACCTTACATAGATCTTGGAAAATCAATTGCTTTGAATGATCAGCTAAAGCAGCAATTGCTGAAACAGCATATTTTGACTGAACGCGAGTCCCCTCCAGACAAACCCTCTTCAGAAAGGGGTAGATTTCACTTCAACAAAAGAAGAAAAAGTTGAAGCCACTCCCAAAACATTTGGATAAAACAGGTTTAGATTTCAAAAGGCTTAATATTTAACAAAAGGAATGGAGAGGAAGGACACTCTTTCTCATTTAACTGTTGCCAAAAGAAATATTCCATGTGTAAGCAAATACCAAAGGTTAGAAGCACAAATAGCATAATATGCATATTAAAGTTTGGGGTATCTTAACCATTTACCGCTGCATGTGTAAGGAATAGTTAATCACACCCATTAGAAAAATTGGGAGACTTGACTTTCAGAATCCATGCACATGTTACAGAATAAAAATCATTGATTTGAGCTCTTTTATAATTTTTATGGATTGTGTGCACCATGCACAAGCTCTTTTTAATATTTATTTAACAAAAACAGTTCTGACAAAGAAGAAACATCCAAACTTGAATGACAGAACAAATTAACATCAGAAATAAGATATGAAAAAATAAAAAAAGGACATCCTTCACAATACAGTCTCCATTGGAACATAAAACTCCATCCTGCTCAAAATGTACAAGAATCAGAAAGACTGCAGAAATTACCTGAGTTTAACAAATATGTGAGGGCCTGCTTTGGCTAAAACTTCAATCAACTTATCATTAATTGGGTCCGTCTCCTTTAATAACTTCTGAAGTTGCACTTCTGAACCTCTTAAGAGAGTTGGGAAAAAGCTGGTGATTGACTGAACCAGAAAACAATTAAAAGACAATTTCAATCAGTGAAGAGACAAAAATATTCCCCAAGATACTTAGATAGTACTTGCTCACACATCCAAACTTGTTTCTCCTAGTCTTATATTATATAAAACATAGATACAAGATTGAACTCATTAAGAGAAGGCAAATGCTAATACACTATATACGCTAAAAAAAAAAAAAAAAAAAAAAATATAATATCTCATCTGCTTATGGAAAGCTAACCTAATCTCTCAAGCTTTATCCCAACAGAAATGCAAGAAACCAATTTAGGCCAATATAAGTTAAACGAAAAGGCAACATACTGATACTACCAATGCCAATATAAGTTAAACAACATACTACCAAACGACAACATTACAACAACAACAACAACAACAAAGCCTTTTCCCACTAAGTGGGGTCGGCTATATGAATCCTAGTACTCTAAGTCTTTTCTTAGAGTCTCTTCCAAAGTTTTCCTCGGTCTTCCTCTACCCCTTCGGCCCTGGACCTCTGTCCCGTAGTCGCATCTTCTAACCGGAGCGTCAGTAGGCCTTCTTTGCACATGTCCAAACCACCATAACCGATTTTCTCTCATCTTCCTTCAATTTCGGCTACTCCTACTTTACCTTTGATATCCTCATTCCTAATCTTATCCTTTCTCGTGTGCCCACACATCCAACAAAGCATCCTCATCTCCGCTACACCCATTTTATGTATGTGTTGATGTTTCACCGCCCAACTTTCCGTGCCATTCAGCATCGCCGGCCTTATTGCCGTCCTATAAACTCATTCTAAGACCTGACACTTGTAAGTCGTACAATTCAGTTCAGTCCATAAATTGAACCATGCTATAAATGCTATATGTGCTTTCCATATTGTTGCTTGTCAACCACAACAAGGGTAATCATGGCCAATGCTCAAGTTTACACACTAAAGTTGTGTTTTGTGTTTGCCAATTGTAAGTGTTAACACAAGCACATGAACCCTTCATGGTCTTTCTCTCGTATGGTTAGCTTTTGTCTTTTTGAGCACATGAACTTAATCTAACTTTGTTCACATTCAAAATTTTTACGCTTCTGCTGAGGGAAAGTATTATTTAGATCCACTAAGCAAAACAGATAGAAAAAAACCTTCTTACCAGCAGAAGTCTGACAGAAGAAGCCTCCAAGTTTGTCTTTCCAGGACTGTTACCGGATAGATCATCTAGAATACAGCAAACATGCGCTGCACTGAATATATTGTAAGAGCATTTTGAGGAAAGTGTTCGTAAAAACTCAAAATTCTGATGTTTCCCGCCAATCATATTCAGAAATTTGTCCTGAAAATAAGAAATGAATAAGTAGACAACACAATTTTTAATGAAGAAAAAAAACAGAGAAAAGTAAATTATAATTTTGTTACTATCAGGTATCTTAATCATACAAAAGAAAAATCACCAATAAAAAAGGAGACCATTGTTTGACACCACCTCATAATTAACCAAACTGAAATGCAACTTGCCCTTCCACATTATAAAACAACTCCCATAAAATGCAAGGAGTCAAACTATCTATTCAAGAAAACAAAAAGTTGACCTCGCTTGACCTAACTTTATTCACCCCAAGACTTTTCATGGGCCTAATCCTTTTAACATCCATTCAAATGCTTCATCTCAACCCCAGGGGCATGTCAGTCCTCATACTGGTGAAAGCTCAAATTAAGAGAACCTCTACAAATTATAAGTGCAAATTGTGTATAGCACAAGTGGTCTTCGTGTAATTGTGGCTATCACCAGAGAATTCAATAATGTGTTTCTGGGTTTCCGAAGAAGTTTTGGATGACTCCACATTACCATATTTACATTATTAAACAAAAAAAGCAATTAAGCCTTATCTCAGAACTGGAATCATCCACATACACCTTGACCTGCCTCGTCACAACATGATTCAGATTTTAAAGTTTCATGCCTTACAAGCACTGTTTACAATTTACCCCAACTCCACAAAAAATTACCAATATAAGACGGAATATGCCTATTCAACTGTTTTGCTTCATCCAATCACACATGTTCTAAGATCTTATATTTTACTGTTTAATTAACGAGTGAATAGGGAATACACGTTTTTGCCTCCCCATATATCATGAAACACTTACAATTAAAAGGCAAGTTTCATTGAACTTAAAGCTCTGCTTTTCAATGTATATTGACTAACCAATTCAGTGACTCAGACAATCTTCAATCAAGAAAATCCAACTGAGATAGACAACAAATGCCATAAAGAACCTTTATTAGGAATTAATTTCTTTACCTATTTTGAGCAATGAAATCATACAATGTTTATAAGAGAAAACATGCATGTTACCTTTTCAATGTAAGTCAACCAGATTCAAAATTAATGAGCTACGGATACACAAAAAGAAATAATTAGCTTCGAAATCTATGTTTACCGCATTGGAAATGAGAAATCAGATTATTAATTGTTAGCCACTGATCTGTTTATCTGCCTATATACATACCAATATATATTTACATATATATATATATATATTTGCAACAAAGTCATATATGTGGGTTCCATACAAACAAAGTACTGTATGCACACAAATAAGTACATGCATGTTCCCAACAATCATGCACGTGCGGAAGTGGCTCAAAGAGGAAGAAGGGCATTCATGGGATCATTTAATTAAAAGTAAAGGTTAAATAAACGCACTCTGCTTGCACGGGCTTCTTTAAATTTCAGGTCATCCAATAGCAGAGCCAGTGAATTAAAAATGTTATTATCTTTCATTTGGTTAAATTTTTCAAAGCACTCTTCTGCTCTTGAAGGGTCTGCAAAGGAGACTGCCATTTTTGAGAACTGAACTTTATATCTCTTCTGCATCTCTTCTGAATTACTCCCCTGCAACATCAAGTTAATTGCTTCAATTATTCAAAACTATTAAAGTGTAGCCAAGACGTGAAAAGCTGCCATTCATTGCCTGTATACACCAGGAAACTTATACAACTTTCTTCAACAACAACAACAACAACAAAGCCTTATCCCACTAAGTGGGGTCATCCAATTAATGAGTGGTAAATTTAAGTGGGGCCATACAACTTTCTTCAATGAGTAATAAATTTAAGAAAATGAATTATTAACAAAGCATAGAGCACACTAAATAAATTTCTGATCAGCTGAAAATTATAAGGAATATTCACAAAGTCTATTACATAGCATTAGTCACATGCACAGTGATGTATGCTGAAAGCTTTGAAAATTTGGTGCAGTAATTTATCTCAAAGGAAGCATAACATCCACTAGTTATTGATTTTTCCGGGGAAAAAAAAATTTCACGATAATGATAAGCCACATTTTAGGCCTCTAGAATAAGTCTGAACAAATTCATTGAAATGCAACAGTTACCACGCTCTGATACTTGTTTGAGCACTAGGACAAATATTCAGTACTAAAAATATACAAAATTACGTCTAAACAAGAAAATGTGGAGAAAAAAAATTCTTCCAAATGGAATACTCATAGAGGGAAGCAATTGCTTTTATCACCAGCATAACAACTATATACATTCAACAGTTTCGTAAGAACATGTTTCAATACCAAGATTTGTTTACTTTTGGATTTTAATAAGCATCCGGCCTCAAGCAATCTCTATTCACATAAAGGACCTTAAATATACTGTAAATTCATAATAGTGTTCACAAACTAAAATTGTCCAGAAACTAACAGTTGAAAATATTAATTAAGCATGCTTTTCCAAAAACTCACATAAATTAGTTCAAGGACCACACGGCATCTCGATAATGGATAGTGCACAATATATTCACTAGCTATATACAAGTCATGTTTAGCAAGCACGAGATTCAATTACTGTACCTTCTCTTTCTTTCGATTGGCTAAATAAGTTTGCATCTCACTTTGCAACCTACAGAACATTTGTACATTGTAAAGAAAGAGGACATTCACCTTAACCACAGCAAGAGCAAGTTAGTGATAAATACCTTTGTTTCTGGGATAAAATAGAGTTCAAAGCCTTTATATGAAGTGGGGTGAAAAGAGAAAACAAGTGGATCCAGTGCCTTGTAATTTCATGAACTGAAAGACCAGCTGGAAATAGATCTTCTGCAAGAACAAGCTCCATATTTTGGGACCTGAAGTAAAACAATAAGGAATGAGAGTCAAATACAACATTGTACAGCATTGACTTTATTCTAAAAAGCTATAACATGTGAGAAAACAAACCTGAAATCCATACAATCTTTATCAAAGCATAGCATCAATATTTTACAAGGAATCTGTTCAAAGTGGTCACTGATTGTCAAAGAGCCTTTAAAGCATTTGTTACAATAATCTCGATATACTTCCATCAACTTCTGCAAAGCTTTCTTTCTAACTGGGTATCTGCAAATAATGCAACCAATTATCAATACAAGACAGCAAGTGTAACCTGGCGAACCAAAACTATTTGTTATAGAAATACCTTCTTATCCCTAAGTCTTTCAGTGGTCTGAGATATTATTTTGGGAGGAAAGCATCTCATATTAGAAATGGCAAGATCACAGGCAACAATCACTGCCTGTGTTCTCACCCTATCATCAAAATCTAGTAGCCGACTTTCAAGGGCAGCTGTTTAGAGCAACAAACAAGTAAAACTAAGATTCCAAGAATTACACAACCATAACTCGTATAGGAAATAGAAAATGTTTCGTAACTTACGGAGAATTTCTTGTGATTCTGCCCCAGAGGGGTTGGTCATGTAGCAAACTTTAGCACATTGCAGAGCACTAACCCTAACATCCGCAGATTTATCTGAAAATCTTTTCAAAAACTCAACAAAGAGGTCATGATACCTTTGTGCAATATGGTGATCAGGCAGTGTGAAAAGTTTTCCAATTAAATTAACGGCTTTTAGTCGGACATCAACCTGATCAGTCTATAGAAAAGAAAAAAAAAATCAGAGTCAAGTGATATTTAATGATTTAGGTAACGAGCATAAAAGGAACTTAAAGAGAAATCGAAACCTATGCCAGGAGATGAAATGATTAAATCAATCTAAAATGAATTAAAACAAGAAGACATACCAGTAACTCTTGAGTCAAATTTGGCATGACAGCAAGAAGCATCTGAGGAGCACACCCAAAAATTTTAAAAATGATTTCATGGTAAAATTCCTTGAGCTCACTCCCATCAGCATCTCCATCCAAAATACAAGATGTCAGAAACCCACAAACAAAGGACTCAAGTTTGTCTGCGCATGTTTGGATCACAGAAACTGCAAGCTGAGAAGAAGCAGAATCTGCATCCTGTGAAACAAAATATAAGAAAAAAACACTACTTCTGAGTTAATTAAGCTAAATATTGATATCGGGCATTAGCAGATAAGAAGCACTACTCCATTTATTTCACCAAAAGATAATTTGTAGTAAAACTAATTTACAATGTAAAACAATTTACATGAAAAATGGGAATTTTCATTGCAATTTACTTTTGTTTGGGTATCAGACTTGAAAACGCCCATTTCATTACAAATTCCTCAGTTAAAATACCTATTTTTGTCCAGAAAGGCAACCAGAAGCATTCCAAACAGTATACAAAATCACACATTCACCAGTAGTTGATACTCATTTTTTCTTTCAGGTTGGAGACCCAAATTAAAAACGATTAATCGATGATCTCACAAGCAACTAGTACAGGAAGAAACAGATTCCAATTCCATAAGATCTTAGTCTAATGCGTCTAATAGTTCAACGATAATAAGGTCCAACCCAGTGAATGTACAAGCCCCATATACACTCAGAAGTTTTATCCTCTATTAAATAACCTGCTTCCATCATTTACTACTTTAGCAATCACTCCATGTTTATAACATGCTACCTTTTTCAGCTTTTACAGCAGAACAAAAGAAATATCACGTATTTGACCAGAAAACAATGCATAAGGCATTTTCCCTAGCACCAACAACCAGACTATGATAAGTGGATGCAACATTTTAAAGGCCATGCTAACACAATCCCACATGCTACCTCGTATCAGTGAAAATAAATAAACATGCATCAGAAAAAGCTCATATTATAACAAGCATTGGTTTGCCAACCGCTCTACTTAACATTGGTGAACACTATTTTGATATCAAAAACATGTAGAACTAGTTTATCATACAAAGAAATGTTTCTACAAACATTTGAAGCACACACTATCTAAAGCACACACTATCTAACACTCGCCTTTGCCTCCTTCACAAGATTTCGTAGAACCACATCCAAAAGTGGCTGAGAAGCTTCCTCGTTTAGTATATGAACCATTATAGACAAAATATCATTCATCAAACTCTGCTGATGATGTTGCCTACAGGGGGAAAATGCAAGCCATTATTATTGATGTCATCATAGTTAAGCCCAAACTTTCAATACATTAAAACATAACAAATTGCTCTTAATCAATTCAGAGACAATATAATCTCAGATACTTAACTTGGTAAAACATAAAAGTAGAGCATGTTCTAGCCATCTAAGTTGCAGTCATTTATAACTTTTCTTTATTCCACGAAAGTGGATATCTAGTCGTAGAATGTAACAGGATAAGCATTGATTCCTCCAGAATTAGCAATTACGGAGCGCCCAAAACATAAAAGAGTAGAATGGAAAGTCAAATACTAAAAACGAAGGATCGTTACCTCACAACAGAGAAGAAGACATTGAACATTTCGAGAACTAGATCATTGCAGTCAACATCCAACATGATCACACAACATTTACATCGCGCAACAGTCTCTACTATTTTGGCCCTCCTCGAAAAGAGCGGGCTCTCCATATCAGCTAGCTCGACGAACGTGCTGATAATGAGTTTAAAAATGTTCTGAAACAAAATAGGAGTGTAAGCGTCTTTCAAATGATGAGTACACAGTGTAATCAAACATGGTCAAACACACACACATACCCTTAGATATTTGTCCGCAAAAGGGGGTTCGGGTGCCATAGCCCGAAACATTTCAGTTACACAGATGGCCACAAGAAGCCTGACGTCCTTATCCCTATGCTGAAGCAAGCCATGCACAATAGCTTCTCTCAGGGGCTCCAACTTCTTACAAGCTTCAGCCGAAGAAGCCTGTTCTAACTGCGACAAAGCACTTGCAGCTTGCTGCAAATCGAAGCGTACAAATTACAAAACAAGCAAAACCACAAAGATCAACTGAAATCACTACCCCGACGAAATGAACTAACTCAAAACACAAAAGTCCACATTAAACAAAAACCCACAATTCCATTTCAAACATAAAATTATAAAAACGATTCGAACACGAAAAATTGCTCACTCGGAGAGATTTGACGATGAAGTCCTTGTTTGGGCGCGTTTGGCGGCGGAGGTGGGTGCCGATTTCGGATACGAGTTGCAGCGCGGACTCAGCCATTGGGGCAGTGAATCGGATAGAAACCCTAACTCAGCGGAGGACGGTTTTGCCGGTGGTGCAGCGGGCGGACATTCGATCGACGGCGTAAACCGTGATTGCGGGCCTCGAGGGAGCACGAGAGCTTGACGAGTGTGACAAGAAAGTGGACTTCGGAGATTTGAGTGGGGAGGGCTAATTGCTGAGAGGCTCCCGCCTTTGGTGCGCGTTGAGAGAACGCGCCTTGTTGTGGGAGTGGTATGGGAATTTGGGCTGGGGATATTTACCAGCCGAATAAAAAATGGTTAGCTTTTGGGGTTTAAGTTAGTGTTTGGCACGTGGATAAAACGGAACGCACCTTGTCGCATGTTTGTTGCGTCGAATTCTTTGGGACGCACTGTCCTGTGCAACGAATTTTGATTAAATTTCCGTTCCACTTTCTTCCTGAAACGAACTCGTTCCACCACATAGAACAGAAAATTATAAAATTTTAAGACAAAAATGCCCCTTGTCTTTTTTAATATTTACACCATCTAAATTATAAAACAAACCCTAAGGATGCGTTTGTTGCACCGAACTATCTCAGACTACACTAACTGCAGGGACAAAGATGGACTGGCTTAAACTAGACTGAACTAGACTAATTTAGTGAAACATTTGGTGCAGTGTCAGACTAAGAAGCAGGACAATGAAAACAATAGCGTCACCAGTTTGATGTTTGCTCATACTAGGACTACATTATTGTTCTATTTTAATTATTTTTCATAAAGATATTATTAAAATTAATAATATTGGATGAGAGTGAGACTCAATAAAAATACAAAAACCAAATTTTCTTGCCAACGAAAGAAACATACATGATTCAAGAGTAGTATTGTTCCAAACATGAATATAACAAAGTGTTCTCCCAACAATCGACAGGATTCAAGACGTTTTTCTTAATTATTCACCTTTGGTTTAAAGTTGTAGATTAAAGTTAAAGGTATTTGAGTAGAACGAAAATTGATGTCTAACAAGTTCAGTTTTTTACTCAATTATGGAATAATTACTTGGAATTGCTCTTGTATGTATATGCCAATTTTAGTCTATACCATAACAATTGCATTCAATCCCAAGACCACAATGATGCGAGGCAAAAAACCAAACCCAATTAGAAATGAATCCACCCTACACATCATTACTTGAAAGAAATAGTTCTCTGACAAGTTATCATTTTGTTTACATGCTTCCACACATACTCGCAACCTGAAAATACATTGAACCAACACAATGGCATGTCTGAAATCTAGACATGTAGTTTTCATTTGAAACGACATTTGAAACTTGAAGTACATTTAAATGACAATGTAGAGCCAAAAATAATCACAAGGCAACAAGTGGATTTTGGATATAAGAGGACAAAATACCCTTGAGACATACTGGAATTCCTACGCACGAGCACGGGCAATCATTCCTCAACCAAGCCAAAAACGCCTAAAGAAGGTAACAAATTCAAAATTATTTCATCCTTCCTCATTCCATATTCTCTACAAAGCAATCATTCCATAACTTACAAAATATTCCACATAAATTACATAACCTCCTAAAAATATTCCTTTTATTATGTTAATTAGCCAATTAATATATTTATTCCTAATCAATATATTAATTATAATTAAATCACCAAATAACACCCAAAATATACATAAAGGCGGCCATTCTTTCTCTAAAAAGGATCGGCCATGCCCTATAAATATTACCCACTTTTCTCTAAAAACCTAGGTCCACACTCTTGCAAAACTCCAAAAACTCTCTAAAGACTTTTCTCTCTAAATTCTAACTTTAGCATCAGAGGTTCTTCGGCAAAAGTGTCACTTTAGCAGCAAAGTCCACTTTATCGCTCTTCATAATAGCAAGCCTTTCTGAATGAGAACCGGACTTAGCTCCCAACGGACGTTTTGGCACAAACTTTGGCACTGAGGGCATGACAAGACCTCTACATTGAGTAATACAATCAACAATCAAATTAGCCATTCTCGACATAGCAGCCGCTACAGGCTCAGATCTAGCAGCCTTATTTTTCTTCCTATTAGAAAAAGTCATGTCAATCATAGGCCTCTCAACAGCAGGTGGACCCTTATGAGCAGCGGAGGAAATCTTTAGTTTTTTCTTAATCAATATTTCTTGAGCAGACGGGGAAGATCTTTTCTTTCCACCTTCATTCACAGTAGGCTCCACGATAGAAATCAGACGAGTCAAAGTATCCGCCTTGATCCTCTTTTCCTTCTCTCGAGAAAGCAACCCACATTTATCCTGGTGAAGAGAACTAAGCAACCAACGCTATTCACAGTACTCAGCAGGGGAACTCAACCCATATTGGCTTTTTCCTCATTTTTTTCTCTCAGACCAGCAGGCAGAAGGCTTGCATGCCCAGCATTCCAGTAGCCCATGAGGCCTTCGACCTCTTCATCTTTCTCAATCGCCGGTCTGGCCCCCATCAGGTCCAAGAAACCAGATGACATGAGCCATGCGACTCACCTAGCAATGTGCCCCAGCGCCTCAATCCGTAGCCCCAACCACACAAGCTGTCATTGGCTCTAACAAGCCAAGCAGCCCAAGCAGTGGTCCTTACCATAAAACATCCTCGGCCTATGCCGAGCCGACTCCTAGCCCCTGCCAGTTGACGTGCCACACCACCTCAACAGCTGCTCTGCAACAAAACTATCCAAGGGGAAAAAACAAGAAAAATTAAATTTTTCTTACCTCGGTGCAACACGAAGAAGACGAAGAAAGCAGCAAAAGACGATCCTTTGCACGGGCAAGTGTAAAAGATTGCTAGGAGATGGGGAAAAAATATCCTCTAGCTCCCTCTCTCTTGCAGGGTAGAATAAATTGATCTCCAAAATTGATTTAATAACCACTTAAGGTGGACTTAAATAGGTTTGAGAGAAATTTATTTCCCTTTCCTAAAAGGATCTAATTTCCTATTAAAGAGAGAATCAACATCAAAATAGGAAGCAGTCTTAAGTTTCCTAAAGCAAGAAGATCTCTACATCTGCTACCCTTTCCTGCGAGCAGCCAACAAGTATGGGGCATTTGTGGAGCCAAAATAATCACAAGGTGACACGTGGATTTTTGGATAAAAGAGGACAAAAATACCCTTGAGGCATACTAGGATTCCTACACGTGAGCAGGCAGGCAATCATCCCTCAACCAAGTCAAAAGTGACTAAAAGAAGGTAACAAATTCAAAATTATTTCATCCTTCCTCATTCCATATTCTCTACAAAGCAATCATTCCATAACTTACAAAATATTCCACATAAAATTACGTAACCTCCTAAAAACATTCCTTTTATTATGTTAATTAGCCAATTAATATATTTATTCCTAATCAATATATTAATTGCTAATTAAATCACCAAATAACACCCAAAATATACATAAAGGGTCGACCACTCTTTCTCCAAAAGAGGACCGGCCATGCCCTATAAATATTACCCACTTTTCTCTAAAAACCTAGGTCCCACACTCTTGCAAAACTCCAAAAAACTGTCTAAACACTTTTCTCTCTAAATTCTAACTTTGGCATCGGAGGTTCTTCAGCCAAGTCCCTCCCCATTCATCGTGGGCGCGTGAGGCTCTTGGTCTTGACGCTAAGGTGTTAATTGTTTTGTAAGTGCAATTTTTGTCCAAGAAGAAGGAGGCAGAAATTTGCATCCACAGACAATATATAACATATCAAGTCTATGATTAAAATGAGTGATAACTCATATAATCCTCCACGGTATGAGGATAAGGGTAAGGTAACTTAAGCAGCTCAGTGTACTTGGAACAAACCACAATTCACTTCAAGCACCACATGCAGCTTTGCTATTCATTCTTCTGCAATGCTAGCAGCTCTTAGGTCCACACTGAGGTCAAGAACCTACTTAAACATTTCAAGAAATTTGGTTAAACCATATATGAAAGACATGGTTCTATGAAATAGTAAAAAGAAACAAGGGATAACTCGGGATGAATAAATATCCACCAACAAGCTATTGTTCAAACTAATATTAACGTCCCATGACCTTAAATACTTTACCTAAAAAAAGATTTACCTTGTTAGGCAAGTAAGAAGGATCACAAACAACTTTTTGCACTAAGCAATTCTCCTTCAAATATGACACCGATAACTTTCCCTTCCTCGTTGAACTCTACCCTGGCATTATGCATCAAACTCAGTGTCTAGACAGGACACAAACTAATGCAAAATGAAAGAGTGTTAAAAACCAAGAAAAATGTGTAAGGATTACCTTGCACTCAAGGCTTATCTCAACATATAAGTCCCACCATAAATTGCACTAGGCTTATGCAACATTTATGAACCCCGACCAGTTATTTACCTTCATTCTCTTCATAGTATCTAGAGCAGGCTCATTCAGGTAGCGATCATCTCTATGAAGTGTCAAAGCATGCCTATTGAAGTCAACAGTGTAGTCATCAAGACCATATTTTCTGTCAAAACATCAACCACGCAAAAATATAAACAAATGTTCTTGGATTGTTACTTTATCAAAATAAGACCACCTTTCTTTTCTACAAGGAACCTTATACAATAGAAAACAAAGACAAAGCATCGATACCAATGAGACTGTAAAGACCACAAGTTATGATTCTTCTTAGAATGATTATAGAGTTCATTTGCAAAAAGTTTATTGCCCTATCACTTACGCGATCAAATCTCTAGTTTGTCACTCTGTTAAGTCCATTCCCTCATAGGATCAGTTTCACTATAATCTGAATGTATAGGATGAACTTGTGTGTACGGTGCTTTTCAAATAGACCCATGAGTGGAGATTAAGGGCCTCCATGTCAATTGCTGGAACCTCGTGAACCTATTGTAACAATTGAGATCCCATCCATAAGATTTAAGATGAAATTTATACAGGTCAGTGTGTGAGTGTCTTTGTGAATGTAGTTACTAAATGCAACTTAACTCATTCTCAAACCCGATACCAAAATCCAAAAACTCTAGTCCAACTTGATACCAAAATTTGTTGAAACTAGACCTAAATAACAAATTTAACTTTGCATCCACACCCTTACAACAACAATTTCGTGATGATTATCATCATTTTGGGACTGAAAATGGCATAAAATGTGAAAACC